TTAGATATTATTTTTTTTTAAAAAGAAAGAATTATTTGAATGCTAAATTGTTTTTATTTTTAAATCTTTTTCATAATAAATTTTTGCTTCTCTTTTTTCTTCCTCTGCTTATCTATGAAACTTAATTCTATTATCTGTCTCCTCTATTATTGTCTATTAATCTATTTTTAATTAATATATTGGTAAAATATAAGAAATCTAAGTTTTAAATTTCCCCTTAATAATTGATAATATATACAATCTTTGATTTATAAACTGTTTTTATTATACAATTTTAATTACTAATATTATCTTTCAAACTGTTAAATACTTTGTGCTTTAAAAAATTTTACTTTGAATTGATACGAATATAGTTAGCATTTTATTAATAAGTATCCACAAGATAAACTTTTCATTAAGATAGTTTAGGATACATGATGGAATTAAGTAGAAATAGATATAAATAACATTGAATGGAGTTAATTCAGAATTTCATCAAATGGTTAGCAATAATAATTTCACATTAGGTTTTAGATTTTTTAATTTGAATATCAATAATAAACATATTATAACAATAGAAATCTTAAAATTAAATTAGATATAATAATTTTTTTTAAAAACTTTACTTTTAATTTTTTTTATCTTCAAAATGAGAAAGGATTTGAACTTATTTTTGAGTAGATAAAGTGAATAATATTGTTCACATAAACTTTAAATGCTTTATAAAAAAAAGTTATTTTTATTTCGAGTTAATTTGATTTAGAATGGAATATCAATTAAGATATTTCATAATTTTGGAATATGGATTTATGGTATAAGCATTTACAATAAAAAGATTCAATAAAAAAATCTTAAGATTATATTCTTCTGAAATTTAATGATAAATACTAAAAATTTCTTTAATAAAGAAGAGAAAAAAAATTGTGATTCAACTATTCATGGAAAATCTACTGGTATAAAAATTGATATGAATTCTGAATGAAATAATAAAACATAAAAAATTTGAATTCATTTTTACTATATCTAATATCACATATTATAAAATAGTTAATTATATTTTTTAAAATAAATTTACATTAATTTGTATTTTTTGTCTTTCCTTTTTATGATTGATTAATTTAAGGATCATATGTGTTTTGGCTTTAATTTATTTCATATTTTTATGCTTCTTTGATGGCATTTGCAGTTATAGTTAAGAATAAAGCACTTTTTTCCTCAAATGACTTTTGTAGGTTTAATTAAAACTATTCTAATAATTCTTATCTTTCTACAGTATATTATTATACTAATTCGTAAGCTTTTTTATTCATTTAAATTTCTTCACTGATTTAAATTCTATTAATATAATTAGATTTAACTTAATGTTATTAATTGTTTACAATGAATTCTACTAAAATTTTCTTTAAAATGGATTAAAATCTTGTTTCTTTTTTTTTCTCTTATATTTTTTTTGTTTCTTCTTTAATTAATAACTCAAAGCTTTATAGACCATCTTCCATTTGTATTTTTTATTCTTCTCTCTACTTTTTTTATTTTTCTTTTTATTCTTTTTCAATTTCTTAATTTGTTTTTCTATTCTATTTTCCTTTTTTTTCAACACTTAATTTTTAATTTTCCTATCGATTATCATCTTCTTTATAATTTTCATTGTAATTTAATTAATTTTCTTCATCATTATTAATTTTATTCTTAAAGTTACTAAAAGAATGAAAGATATTCTTACAGGAGGAATTTTTTTCCATTATTCAACAGTAAAACATTGAACAAATCCAAGCTTTATTTTTGTAAAATATGCCTTTAATAAATCTGTAACAAAATGTTATTAATCACAAGGCTCAGTTGGGTATATAATACAACTTTATAGAATAATTAATTACTTTTAGGAATTCACATTTTTGTTAGTGGTTGAGTCTATTGGTGATTCTTTTACAATTCTATGCAGTCATTGTGAAATGAGTTCCTAATGTTTATAGAGATCCTAATGATAGATTAGTCATAGTAATTCCCATTGTAAAATTTTTCATCTCCAAAGAGTATGCCTTACTTATTAAAAAAATTTTACTTGTATCCACAACTTATTCTTCAGACATTGTTACTCTAGGGCTTGCTTTTGAATATAGATCTTCCAAATATATAATAGCATAAAGAAAACAGGCACTGATATACCAACAGTGAACATAAATCCTAAGGATGTGGTAAATTTTTCTTGTTTCAAGATTTTAAAGGCAGGAGGTTATCAAAATACATCCATGCTTCCATATACTTTTTTAAAAGATATCAAATTATGTTATTGTAATTATGAAAAAATGCTACAATATTTTTAACGTTAAAATGATATTTTTATTTTTCATAAATTAAAAATATTTATGACTGTGAAATTTTATTTTATGGATTTAAAAAAAGATCAGATTTTGATCCTATGAAATTACATGATAAAAGGATAATTATTGATAAATCAAATTTTATTATTAATTCCAAAAATTAACAATAAATATTTATTTTTCTACTATTAAATCAAATTACTATTCTAAAAATTAAATAGTAATTTATTAGAGTTTATTTAATTATCTAAAAAATGTTTGATTTCGAGAACTCATTTATTATGATCACTTCTTGAACCTATTCTAAAGTATATAGCAAAGTAGTAAGCTGCGTAAATCATTTGAACTAACCCTGATGTTGCTATGATGATCTCTTCCATTTTAATATTTAAATTAATAAGTGAACATAAAATGATAAATAGATGTAAACTATAAATTTTACATTTTTTATATATTTATAAAATACTATATACAAACAATTTCTATAACAAAATTCAAATCCGTATGTTTATTTTCTTAATCTACTAATCTATATTAAGCATAAATAAGTAATGATTATGCTTAATAATAAAGTGAAAGATATGTAAATTTTACACAAAGAAGTTAAGAGATCGTAATGAATAATAAAGGTTATGAAAATTATGAGATAGAACTAGTCTCTAAAATTAAGTAGTCAATAAAGTTATTAATTTAGAGAAATATCTAAGTTTGGTAACTTTTTATAAAAGTGAATAATGAACATAGTGATACAACTGAAAAGTTATGAATAATAGATGAAATAGTACAACCAAGAAAATAAATCATTTTCTGCAACTCAAAATCGATCATATTCTACATCTCAAAGTTGAATATTTAAATTAATTAGAGTTTAAAACAGCAAATTCTATATTAAGGTGAATATGATAAGATTATGATTTATGCAGTGATGTCCTATGGTCAGCTGTACATTTCCTCTTTTATTTAAAATTGGAGCAGAATAAAAACGATTTAAATTGGGCCAAGTAGTAAGTCGAAAATTTAGGATTATAAAAAAAATAAATTAAAACATTTTTGCCTAGATTTTTTCTTAGGCTGAATTATATGTATTTTTTGGCATTGGCATCTTTTAAATCCCATCTAAATTAATATAAAGAACAGTTAATATAATAGTATCTCTATTATTCAATATATCCCACCCATTTATTACTTTTATTTTAAGTAATCTTCTATTTTCGATCTTCCAATTCTTATAAGGATGTTTATATAAGTTAAATAATTAATTTCTCAACAGAAAATTTAAACATATTATAGAATAGTAGCAGACCAATTTACATAAAATTTTTCAACTTTTTTAAATTTTAGAGAAAGATAGAGTTATATAATTTTTTTTATTGCACAATATACTCATTTTATTAAACTGATTATTGAATACTTAGAAGAAAACAGAATTTAAAATAAATTTCTCTTATCATTCTTTTAGATTTATTCAGCCTCTAATTTTAGATGCAAATGAAAAACGGTATTCTATTAATTGATTTTATTTTCGAAACAAAACAAGACCGAAGGATCAATAATATAATTAAGAATCTATAAATGATAAGCTAAAAACAAAGTAAGTTGGACTGAAACTAAAGAATATATCATTTATATCATGTTCGT